AGATTTTGAGACCATAAGTTAACAACAAACAATTTGTAAAGATTTTAGGCAACAGAAACTGATGACAATGATGTTTGGCGAAGATATAATAAAAAAAAAATTGGTGACTTTTGGATGTCAACATAATTTTTACTCACAACAATGTAACGTCATTAGTTTTGTCAAAGGATAGAAAAAGTTCAACGATGCATCACCAATAAATGACCCAAAAAGTGTAAATTAAATTTTAGCAATCATCACTGAAACATCACTGAAAAACTGCTGCTGCTGCTGCTTTTGTTCCCATTCACTAAAACACTTGTTTTAGTTTTCACTTCTTAAACTTTCCTTTGTTTTTTTGTTTTTTCTGCTTTTACTTCTTTGCACTATTAACTTTGCTCTTGAAATTGACAATTTTGAACACACTAATTTATTTTGATAAAGAAAATCAAGAAAAATAGTTGTAAACAGTAAGCGTTAATATCAAAAAAAAAAGGGAAGCTTAAATATAATTGACCTTTAGAAGAAAAAAAAACACTTATCTATATAGGAAACAATTTGAACCGCTAAAGTTCTTGACCACTTTTTTATCAGATTGAATTTTTTGATATTTTTTCCTCAAAAGATGATAGATCACTGAAAAAAATGTGTTCCAATTAGCCTTATCCAAAAATGGTGACGTTACCAACAACCAACAACTATTTGCTTTTTCTTCCGGATTTTGCATCCACTAAAACAACATCAGCAATTGAACTTTTAGAAAAGGTTATACGAAAAATAACTGTATACACGTCATCTGTGATTTGTTTTATAAATTTTTCTTCCTTTTTTTTTTTGCTGCTTCAACACAACAAACAAAATCTTTGAAACATCATTTTCTTTTTTTTTTCAAACATATACAAATTGAAAAATTTTTAAGAAGACCAATAAAATTAAAAACAATGTTCAAGCAAATAACGAACTGATAAATATAACATAATTTCAATTTGCATATTAATTGACGAGAAAAAAAAAGGTTGAAGTATATATGCTAATTTATCAAAAAAAAGTCAGTAATTTTACCTAATCACATTACTGTTTATACCTATCTTAATGATTTAATTTAAAAATGCAAGATCGGTAATGTTTTAGCATCTTTTTTTTTTTTCTGATTGATCATGATAGGAAATAAAAACAGCTTCTTAAAACTAAATTCTACCAACAATGCTTCACCGAAAAGAGCTCCAGTATCGTTTATAACAGATTATTTACAACTACATTTATGTGTTAGCAATATAATCAAAATACCTAATGTCTACTGTTGCAAACTGCACTCAACTAAACTAAAATACTCTAACACCTATTTGGCCTATTTAATCGATTTAGTTTTGCACCACTAAACAGTTGAAATATTCCATTATTAGAATGAAAATTTCTACAGCCAATACCCAGTCTTAAAAAATAGAGGCTAAAAGAGCAGATGCAACAGCTACTAAATACTGCGGCGCCACCGAGATTGTTGCATTAAACGCATAGTTGCGCTGAAGCACCCGTGAACAAAATCACACTTTAAACAAAAACAAGTTGACTAGAAGATGAATATTAAAGATTCCTATTCAAAAAACAATAATATTTGAGCAACTCCTCATCAGTGAAAGCTCTGAGATATAGGTACATATCAAATCAATCATTCAGTCATCAGAAAAAAGCTATAAAGTAGTCAACATTAGTTTTTTTACAAGGCTGCGAAACTATAACAGTAAATTTCTTATCAGTAATATTCTGTCGCACAAGTTTCTCGTAAATTCGGCTATTTTAGAAGGTTTCAAAACGATGCTGGAAGGAAGGCGCATTTCGAACCCTATTGGCTGTTGTACAAGCGTCCCGAATTTCTCGATTGATAGAGTCTGGACCACAACTGAATACTCCAACTTCTTCTACCTAAATTGATCCAATTTTTTATATGACACCGAATAACAAATGTTAGAGTTATGAATCATAATAAAATTACAAATTTATAAACAGCAATTACTGTAACAAACCTGTGGATGAGATCGTTGAACATATCGGAAGAACGACTCAAATTTTGGTCGTCCAAAATGATTTGTTGCCCGTAGCCCAGTAAACATACTTCGTCCACCTGTGCTACCACGGAAGCAGTTCTCACATATGTACTGTAAACAGTTTTGTCATCAAACTACACATTACAGTTACATCGCTAAACAATTTATCAACAACACTCTCAACAAACAATAAATGACCGAAAAAAAAATCAAACCAAAAAAAAAAAGAATCAAAAATTGACCAGCATTGTAGTTCGCAGATCAAATCTGTGGAAGAACTGCGTTACAAAGATGTGAGTTTCCAATAGGTCTCTGTCGTCCAGTTTCTCAACACTTTGCAAAACGTTAATAAACCACTCGTAGCTTTTATGAGTGGGA